CCAGTTGTATTCCAGAGATCACGAATTTCTTCCAATGTTGTTGACATCAGAGATGTCGGTGAGCTAACACGCCAAGTAGTCCAATAACCTTGGGAAAAAAACAGGGAAAGTTCAAATTCGTAGGTTTCTAGACCCAGAAAAATCACGCATCGACTGGTCTTGCTTGCGCGATAACTTATCAGCATTCTCCATAATAGTGTCTAAATCCACAGATAAATACGGAGTTGTTGTCTTCCAGCTCCTTGCACCACCAAATCGGAGCTTGGCCTCGGCAACTATACGGACTAATGAGCGGGTACGCAATGCAACATGTAGATCAACTTGATACGGGATGCAGAAGCAACCGTGCTGCCGTCCGGTTTTTGTGGATCGATGAGAGGCAAACAAAAACAACACACCTCGTACGAAGGCATCGTCATCTTGAGAGACAAATATTGTCCCTACACTTCCCCTCTGTCAGGTGACAAACCCGCCGATATCTTTTGGCATCAGATCCAACCAGCTTGCCATATTATAACAGACTCACGAGGATATGTCTCCCGCGTCATCGATTCACGATCCAGGCGAAAGCCAGCCGCTCCTCTCGAGGCATCGACGACGCACCGGCACATTCCAACTGCCATCATTCAATGGCCAGCGACTCGTGTCGCCCCTATCTATGCGACGTGCCTCCCTACAGGAGGTTCATCCACATCACGAAGACGTCGAGCCAGTACTGCCGGCCGCGCCAGTCGCCGCCCACCAAGAGACGCGCCTACACAAGCCGCAATGGGCGCTCAGTGACAGGCCACCGAACACATGGGCCCAAATCCGTCATTACTGGCGGGAGGAATTTGCGTGAGTACCTGAATATCGGCTGGATCCATCTTTACATCACTTCAATCGCGGACATGGCTCCCCACCGGAGCCTCCCCCACCGGGATGCCTTACGGCAATGGAGCTCTCAGAATCAATCCGATGCTGACCGCACACATGCACAGTGAATTCTGGGGTACCTTCATGATCTTGCTCTTTGGAGCAGGTGTGGAATGCGAGACGCGTCTGAATTACCAGTCGGCCGACATCCGCGAAAATGCTGGTGACTTTTTGCAGTGCCGCCTGGCCTGGGCCGCCGGCGTGGCTATGGCCGTTTGGATGTCCGGTGGTGTATCAGGTGGACACTGCAACCCAACCGTGACAGTTGTCCTCGCTCTTTTCCGCGGCTTCCCCTGGCGCAAAGTGCCCAGCTTTTTGGCTGCGCAAGTCTTGGGTGCTACCTTCGCCAGTCTTGCCGTCTATCTGAACTACTCCACCAGCATTGCAGAGTACGAGGGCGGCGCTGCCCGCACTTTGATCGGGGAACATGCCACTGCCGGTCTCTTCTTCACCTTTCCCAAGTCTGGACTTCCTTATGCCGGCGCCTTTTACACCGAGTTCCTTGCCTCGGCCGCGCTGGTGGCTATCGTGTTTGCTCTGGCTGATAAGAACAACCTATCGCCGCCAAAGGGCACACAACCCTTTGCTATGTTCTTGGCTTTGCTGGCCATCGGCTCCGCCTTGGGCATCAACACTGGGTACGCCATGAATGGTGCCAGAGATACTGGTCCACGTATTGCGTTGGCTATCGTTGGCTATGGCTCGGATGTCTTCACTCATGACTCTTACTACTGGCTGTGGGCCCCTTGGGCTGCTGCTATTGTTGGTGGTATTGCGGGTGCTTGCGTGTATGATGGATTCATCTACACTGGGCGTGACTCTCCGTTTAACATCCCGAGGAAGGAAGATGACTGAATGGCGTGATTGGAGGGTCATCATATTGACTCTGAGGAATCAGAGTCACATGGGATAGCGTCAGGTTGTATTGGAATTTTTTGGCTGTCACAAGTTATTGAGGAGATATGTGGGATGAGATTTTAGCCACCTGCAGATTGGCTATGACCTCAGATAGGACAGAATAGATCAGACATAAGATAGCAACGGCAATACTTGGAATAGGCGTCAAGGAAGGCTGATCAAGACGTGTATAGGGACGGGTTATTTCACGATAATGATCACAGACCTATGAAGATATCTTTGGAGTGAAAGTTTTTAGCATGCCAGGCAGATAATGTACTCGAATCGAAGACGTGTGTGCCCAAATACAGGCTCACAAATCAAAAATCCTTTTGGGCTTCACCCAAGTAGTGGGCCACATTTGGGTTCATGCGAGTATTAGGGTCAGTTCACTCATGCAGTCATTCTAAGTCTCTTGCGCTTTCTTTCGAATCAAGGCGTGCGGTAAGAATTGGGATGTGGCCTGAGCTAGCTCCCGCTGGCTCGCGCTGAACTCAGGTCACCCGGTGGAGAGCCATCAACATTAGCAACAAACTTCAACCGATGTATTTAGATGAAGTTCATGTAGTAACACCTCATACCAAGATATATTCATTCGGGTAATTAAATATTTCTTTGTAATCATGGGGGCATTGGAATATCACACTAACTAAACCGTCAATTCATCAAACTTGACTAAATTATCGTAACTTATGGTTCTCACACGAGGCGAACGAAGTGTTCCATGACGACTAGCAACTTCCATTGCGCCTACTAATACTACCAATCGGTAATTGGCGGTTACACAACCGCCAAGTCGGAAAAATTCTGGCGCTATGACGATCAGTCCGAAAAGAGGAGAAGTCTGGGGGAACCAAGATCAAAACGCACCTCGATGGAACCCTGCGCGAGTGTTAGAAGAAGTGCACCGAGAACCGAGAAACCGCAATTGGTGCGCGTCACATACGACCCGCCGGCTGAATGCAAAACCTTCAGAAACCTTCGTGAACAATCTTAATTCGACCCCGGAGCCGTAAAATCCGTTGATGTCTAGGTCTAAAGGGGGGGGATTGTAGCACAGGATCATACTCTTCAAATTACTTTCGGTAATATGGGAAGTAGTATTGGTATCGGTAAACCATGCGGCACAAACGGCAGTCCACATAGAGCATAGTCCAGTTTCACTTTTGTTAACCCACGAATGCCAGATTGATGAGATTCGTATCCCAGTGCGACTTTCTCGGACTCTCTCGCATTGGCGAGCAACTGCCGGTCCACAACTAGGGGAGATCGGATTGCAATCAACGTTTAGATAGCCAATCGCTGTCAAGTCAAAATACACACATTTCTCATATATATAAAGATCGGACGACTGCCAACTGTTTCTAGTCAAGGAGTTCGTGTTACAGAGACTCAAGCTTTTTTTTCATCAACTTTATAAACTCCGCAACGCAAAGATGATGCTCAGAGCCAATGCGGGGGTGATTTCGACCACTCTACTGCTCCTCGCGTCTGCGACAGATGTCATCGCCCAGACGTGCGACCTGCCGTCTACCTATCGCTGGACATCGACTGCCGCGCTGGCCACACCCAAATCCGGATGGGCCTCGCTCAAGGACTTCACCACCGTCACTTACAACGGTCAGCACCTCGTATACGCGTCGACTCATGACCAAGGCTCAACCTGGGGCTCCATGAACTTTGGCCTCTTTTCCGACTGGTCTCAAATGGGTGCTGCGTCTCAAAATGCAATGACCCAGTCCGCCGTCGCGCCTACCATCTTCTACTTCCGTCCCAAGAACATCTGGGTCCTCGCCTATCAATGGGGTCCGACTCAGTTCTCTTACAAGACGTCGAGCGATCCCTCCATTGCGAACGGGTGGTCCGCGGCGCAGCCCATGTTCTCCGGAACCATCTCCGACTCCAGCACCGGCCCCATCGATCAGACGCTCATTGGCGACAGCACGAACATGTACCTATTCTTCGCGGGCGACAATGGCAAGATCTACCGCTCTAGCATGCCCATTGGAAACTTCCCGGGCAATTTTGGCACCGCCTCGACAGTTATCATGAGCGACACGACCAACAACCTCTTCGAGGCTGTTCAAGTCTACACCGTCAAGGGTAAACAGCAGTACCTCATGATCGTAGAGGCTATTGGCGCCAACGGCCGCTACTTCCGCTCCTTCACGGCCACCAGTCTCGGCGGATCGTGGACGGCCCAGGCCGTGACCGAGAGCAACCCCTTTGCCGGCAAGGCCAACAGCGGTGCTACCTGGACCAACGACATCAGCCACGGTGACTTGGTTCGCAGCGATCCAGACCAGACCATGACTATCGATCCGTGCAACCTTCAACTGCTCTACCAGGGACGATCCCCTAGTTCCAGCGGCGACTACGGCCTGCTGCCCTACCGCCCGGCAGTTCTGACCCTGCAACGATAGGATTCCTCCGCCGGACCTCAACCTCCTGGACACCTGTGGCACTAAACTTTACACTAGGGACAGTTCTTAATATTCTTGAGTCCTCCCCTAGCTCAGTGATGGGCCAGACAGCCAATCAGGAAAAACGTGTACGGAGTCAGTCCAGGAGAGTGTTTGCGCATCGATGGGCTTCCCTTTCACATGTAAATATTGATCAAACATACAGCACCTTTAGGCCAGGAGGTCTTCACTGATCGCCTGCCATTGAACATAAATTATTATTACCAAGCTTTCATGCTTTTGCCTCAAATCTACTTAGATCCTAAGTTCAGCTCCAGCCATTGATTCTCCTGTATGAAGGCCTGCGATGACCTTGCCACTTCATACAAACACACCATAAACTAGAACTTATATGCCGCACGACAATAAAACTCGTGATAGTGATATCGAGAAAGTATGGACAGTCGGTCACACCCATCGTACTTTCTGCACACCATCGGATGAGATATGCATCAAGTAAGCAGGTCCAACATCCTTGGCAAACCTGTTGGTTACATGCGCTCATATACATTTTCTCATCTTTGGCGAACCACGGCGCCTGAACAGGCGGCATCTCCTTGCACTTACCCCGCACTCGAGATGAGAGACGTCAGATTGTCGCTTGGAGAAAGGGTCTGCTAACGCCGCGTTTATTGCTCAACTCATACAGGCTATGGCCGCCCCGTCAAGCTTTCCCAACGTCTTTCAGTCAGCTTACTAGATGACAACGTAGTCAAAATCAATATCATGCGGCTATTACATACAACTACATTTGAATTGCGAGAGTTCTCCGGTACAGACATACCTCCCTACGGCATCCTGTCCCATACTTGGGGGCGTAACGAGTTCACATTCAGAGATTTCCAACGAGCTGGATACCGCGGTGGGATCACGAAAATCGACGGCATGTGTCGCGTCGCTCGAGACCAAAGGCTTTCCTGGGTCTGGATAGACACTTGCTGCATAGACAAGAGCAGTAGCACGGAGCTGTCTGAGGCCATCAATTCTATGTTTGCATGGTACAGACGGGCTGCAACATGCTTTGTGTACCTTGAAGATGTTCCTGGGGGTTATAAGTTTAATCCCAAAGACAAGGTCTTTGCCAATAGTCGCTGGTTTAGTCGCGGTTGGACCTTGCAGGAATTGTTGGCGGCGACCACAGTATTCTTTTACGACCGGTCCTGGAACTTCGTGGAGTGGATTGAAAAGTCCGGTGACACTGACGGTAGAGCCCGTCCATCGAATATGGTACTCGGGAAAAGGAAGATAAGCCAAGTCGATAACGAGAGCTTCGACATGAATTCTAACATGAATAACTTCGCCTCGGCTCTCGGCAGTATAACGAACATAAACTTCATTGCGTTAACCAGAAAATTCGAAGATGTGCATCGGTCCTTCTCAGTGGCGGAGAAGATGAGTTGGGCATCGAGAAGAGAGACAACCCGTTTAGAGGATAAGGCCTACTCCCTCATGGGCCTGTTCGATGTGAATATGCCGCTGCTATACGGAGAAGGTGAAAAGGCTTTCTTTAGGCTTCAAGAAGAAATCATCAAGAAGACTGATGACGAGTCGATATTTTCTTGGGGCTATGGAGAACCTGCTCGGTTTGAAGGGGGGTTGTTCGCCAAATCTCCGGCCGACTTTCTCGGGTGCCGGAATGTCACAATAGTCGAGACCGCGGGCAACACCCCGCACTACTATCTAACGAACAAAGGTCTGCATATTCAGACACGATTCACAAATACGCTATGGAGGATGGGAACTTTCATCTACGCCATGCTACACTGCACGGACAGATATTTAACTTCGGGGAAGAATTGCATAGCTATTCCCCTCTACTATGTGGGCAACCTCATCATCCGCCCACCTGGTGCCGTACCTCTATTGATTGACGAAGCCGACCTCGGCACAGAAGCTGTCTATCTTTACATCCACGTCTCCGGAAGTTTCGACAGCTTCAAAACAGACTTCCCGATGCCGGGACATATGTTAAGACGGGTGGAAAAGTCTACAACTGTCCAGTTCACGAGCGCCCCAGGCAACATTAAGCTTGCTGAGGTGTACCCACCCAGCTGGTATCCGCTGTGTACCACATCAAAGTCACTGATAGTAGTACAAGACTTGGCGTCACCAACGACAACCGCCACTGTCTGGATGAGATTTTGGGATCTATCCTCTGGCCTCGATTTCGCCTTACGACTAGATTTAGAGTGGGAGTTGGTACCTTCCCAGAGACCAGATCAGCTTGGGCTAGCGCTGGTGTCCGTACACCCACTTGTGAAACTCATACCGCAGGACATGTATCTATTCGACGAGGTCTTTCATGATGGGCAATCATTTTCGAAGTGGGGAGAGAAGATATCCTGGGGCGATGGTGAGCTGGGTGCTTCCTGGGCCCAGGACGAATTCGATTCCAACATTCGATTAACATTGCCTCCTTCAAAAGGGGATACGATTCTGACAAAGAAAGCTCTCTCATCTGAAGAAGCACGAAGAAAAGTAAGAATAGAGGAAAGATTTCATTTAGTGCAAGCGGCGAGGGGGTTGAAGAGGTGAACATACCTCGACTTGTAACTCAGGAAGTGGATATTAAATTTAGTTATACCCAGTGTAGGAATCATGGATGAATAGGACATAAGATGAATGGTTGGATCCGTAAATTCCACAGTATTCCAAGTTCAATGCTGTGTCATCCTACTCTATTGGCGACATGCGCGTGAGCACCGTTATCTGATTTCACGAACGCATGCCCCGCACACAAGCGCGCAGCGACTGTTTTACTTCCTACCCATCAGCCGTGATCGAACCAACAGAAGCGCATAAGATGTTACTCTTTACAAAGTATTCATCCCATGGCTGACGTGTTACGGCAGGTCACCTCGCGCCTTTGTCGCAGCCGCGAAGCCTGAAGGTGATGTGGTCTCACGACCGGCATCTCCCCACCTGAGTCCGGTGAAAAGGCGCCAAAAATAGGGGTCTCGGACACGCACGAAAGGGTGCGGGGGCCGCTAGTTCGACGTCCGGGCCTCCGTACCTGGGGCCCGGGCGTCTGACGGCAGTCCGGTTGCTAGGAACGAAGATGAGGTAGGCCTTGATCGCTTGGCATCGGACTGTTCATTGCGTCCAGTCTGTTCTTCTTTCGGTGAACTATAAACTTCATCGATATCCTTCTCTAAAGTGCACTTAATTTGCCTTTTTATCTTTCGCTCGATATCCCAGCTAATTCCCTGTATTTACTTCTACAATAAACCTTTCAGACACAATGGCGAGCCCTGCTGGAAACATCTCCTTTGAGGGTAAGTCATGGAAACCATGCACAATGGCTGGATAATGACTGACTGTGTCGCTCAGACTATCTCGGCCTCTCTGGCTGCATCTTCGAGTGGGCCGACAGCTACGACTCCAAGGACTGGGATCGTCTCAGGAAATGCATTGCCCCTGAGCTTCGCGTAAGTTATCCGTCCCACGGCGATGCTTCTCACTGCCTTCGAAACTGCACGTTTGTACTGATCTAGTGCAGATTGACTACCGCTCCTTCCTCGACAAGATCTGGGAGGCCATGCCCGCGGAGGAGTTCATCGCCATGATCTCGGACAAGTCCGTCCTCGGCAACCCCCTCCTCAAGACCCAGCACTTTATCGGCGGCACCCGCTGGGAGAAGGTCTCCGAGACCGAGGTCATCGGACACCACCAGCTCCGCGTGCCCCACCAGAAGTACACCGACGCCTCCCGCAAGGAGGTTGCCGTCAAGGGCCACGCTCACAGCTACAACAAGCATTGGTACAAGAAGGTCGACGGCGTCTGGAAGTTCGCTGGTCTCGCTCCCGAGATCCGCTGGTCAGAGTACGACTTCGAGGCTGTCTTCGCCGATGGACGTGATTCCTTCGGTGCTGAGGAGACCATCGACAAGAAGAACAATGTCTCTGTTGTCGAGAAGGAGCTCAAGGTTGCCGCTGCTGTTTAAATAATGTCAATGTAATGAGGGAATACCTCCGGTCATGGGAACGGCGAATCGGGACGTGTAATTTACGATGGGTAATTGGGTTCACAAGTTAAGGCTTTGAATGAAACATGGCTACACCTGATTCAGTAAACAAACTACGTGGTATCATACTGGCTGTTAGCCTCATTGATCAGAATATCAAAATCAGATGATCGTCGGCACAAAGACCTAGCATCCCGGCGCGCTTCGAATCTGGAGGAGCAAGTTCATGGGCAACATTTTCAGTTACCACGACTCAGACGTCTGGTTCAGGACCTATGAGTTTGGTCCTGTCAAGTTCTCTCCTACCAGCGCTACTGAGGAGTGGGGTACGTACGATAAGGATGTCAATGCCTTCACTAATCCCAGCAACCTTGCTGCTGGAGGTTTCTTGATTCGCCCTAACCGTCTTACTCTACATAAGCTCTCTGGTACCGACTTCTACCTCAACTGCAGCTAGATTAAGGTGACTACCTCTCGCATCACCCGTGGCATGCGCGCTTTCACCGAGATTTATTCGCGATACGGGCCTGAGGCTAAGGATTTTATGTTGCCTTTCTCTTATATTCGCACTATGTGTAGTGGTAGACAGTTTCCGGCAGCCGATGTAGGCGCCCTTTACCCCTTGAGGGGTGGAACCGGCATTAAACAATTCATCATCATCGTCATGCTCATCATGCGCGCTGCTGAAGTCCAGCAGGAGTAAGCTATCTAGAGACCGTCCGATCAACGATCACGGAGATGACAAGCGATGCTTGTAGCATCAAAGCGACAAGGATTGAATTGGATGTTGAAAATGGCAACATCACTCACAGATCTAGTAAACACCTTTTTCACCATGTCAATGTATTTCATTTGAGACATACTTTTATATCCTATAGGCATCCACATTCAGGCTTTCTGGGTCACCCATCGATCACATTAGGCATATGAAGCTGACATGGGCTATATCCTAGGCTTTGTCTTGTCGGAGTGAACTGAAAGCAGGTTGCCCTTTTGCCGAAGGCTGTTGTACCTCATTAATTCAAGATTGGAGGAATAGTTTGTAGGGACGGTTCCCTAGAAAGGTCGCCGCGCACTAGCAGTGCAGAAACTCTGAGTCAGCCCAAAGGCATAGTAATATGGTAGTACATACATGTGTACGTTTTGGTGCTTCCGTGGCCTTCATCGTAACACGGCATGTGGTCGAGTTCTCAGCATATGCTTTAGAGCTCTTTCCTGATATGATATACGACAAACTGACCAAATATTAAGATGAGTAAAAACTCCGAGTCATAAGAGGCGAGGATACTTCACATACATGTACTATTGAGATGATCATCAGCTACGCCAGCGCCGGGAAGTCGTGATAGCTTCAATTCTGGATCGTATTGCTGACAAAGCATACATCACGTGAATCGAGTGAATCAAGCTTAATGATGACATAAGATGGGGCTTTGGCGGGGCACAGCTCGGCAGTGCACGGAGCAGCAGGGGCCCGAGCCATTGACGGGAACTTGGAGAGCTCCGACGGAGTCTGGCGAGAGAGGTCGCTTTCGCAATGATTCTCTTGTCGACAACAGCTTGAACAGCCTCATCTTGCGACAGGAAGCGGGACTGGCCAATTTATGTTCGATATTATCTTTCTAGAACTCTAGAATAGATCAAAGTTGTGGGCAAGCTAGAATCCCTTGAACCTCGGTTAGAACAGCTCCGACAAACCCTCGAAGCGTACGGATACCTTCGAACTATCATCATGGACTACGTCGACAAGCGGCTCCAGGAGGAAGCAGTGAAGCTGCAAGTGGACCAAGGGCAAGTCAACTAACTCGCTTTTCTGTGAAAATCAGTCAGCTAACCTAATCACCCTTCAGCAACGCCTTCTTCACCCCTCTCAACATTCTCTTCCTCCTCGTAAACATCTACACAATCTACGTCCTCCTCCGACCAACCCCGCCCCCGGTCCTTCCGAAAGAGCCGCCCGCGACCGTCTTCCGCGTCTTCAACCCGCGCACCCTCCTCCCCTTTACCGGCGAGAACGATACACCCATCTACCTCGCCGTCCGCGGCCGCGTCTTTGACGTCACACACGGTCGCAACTTCTACGGACCCGGCGGACCCTACTCCAACTTCGCCGGCCGGGATGCTTCGCGCGGCCTGGCACTCGGCAGCTTTGACGAGGATATGTTGACGGAGGATCTGGACGGCCCGTTGGACCCGCTTGAAGGACTGGGACCGGACGAGATTGAGGCGCTTCAGGGATGGGAGGAAAACTTTGACAGCAAGTATCTTGTTGTCGGCAGGCTTACTGCCGTCGGTGATGAGGAGAAATAGACTCAATACTGGTAAAGTTGGTAGAACTGATAACGTTGTGTTCCCAGCAAGGCTTCAATAGACTGAAGCGTTGAAAGAGAGGTCTCTTCGACGAGGTTTCGCAAATTTCGGATACTATCGGTGTCACTCGACTCGAGATGGATAACCAGTATCCAAGCCACTTACCTTTGTTCCACACGCTATACAGTGTTTGAGAACAGATCTGATATCTCTCCAATGCTCGAAGACCGCACAGGAAGTTGGACACGTTCGATATCATGGTGACATCGCGGACTTGATGACCAGTCAAGCGCCCACGGCTCTTCCCAGTGCCTCGAAAGAGACTGGCAGCCAGCCCGAAGAATTAGATTCCACAACATGCATTGTTGCGCACCCCATTGTTAAGATACAATGACATGACGCAAGGGAGCTGCGTGGGGAGGCAACCGCCAAAAGAGGGCCGCTTTTAGGTTAGTCAGATTATAGCGTCACCACCAGGAGCCAGCGAGGAAAATTTGTGAGTGAGATGAAATGATGCTGACGGCCTGACAGTGCTGGACCCCTCCCTTCCCCCTGTCTCTTCCGCACCAGTTTCCTTTCTCTTCCCCCTCGAGGCTTGCGATGAAGCTCCAGCGCAGGCAGCGATATTCAGGAGATTGGATTCGCGTGGCTTGACGGTTATTTTCAGGCCGTTGTTGCAGCCTCCGAATGACCGTGCCACGAATCCACGAGTGATCCTTCGCTCTGGACACACTGTTGTTGCCCTGGACCAGTATCCGTCCATTGCGTGTGGTTAACTTACTGCCTCCGGTTCCAGCGGCATCCGGGTTGCCGGGGGAGCTGAGCCATGGGGGTTGGGGCATGAGATGAGATGAAGTACCCGGATGTGTGCGCTTATGTCAACTCTCTGTTGATGGTCTTGGCAAGTTGCTCTGGAATGTCGATTGACCAGGCTGCTAAGACAATCCGTCTCAGACTGAAAGCGTTCGATATTCTTCACTTTCCTCAACAAGAGCACGACGATGCGCCTTCTTCACAGGCGACCAAGATGTCACAACAGAAGGCCGTTTCGTTCTCCTTCTCGTCTTCTTCCCGTATCCCACTCTTTACAAGGAAACCAGAGGAACACAGCAGAGCTGGATGTGTGGCTGACGGTCATCCAGCCAGCCCAGACGACTGGGGCTTATGAGCCTCTAAAATTAGCCCCGGTTCGTCGAATCCGGCAAGGGTCGCAGATCCTCCGGCGCTATGCTCCAGTCTGCTTCGTTGTCCCGTCCCGATTCCATGTCTTCGATCTCACCCACGTTCCTCATAGAGAAGCATCTTTCAAAGTTTGCTCTGGTTTCCCTTGCGGAACGTCCAGAAGCAAACACAGCCCCTGGACAATATCACTTCGTGCCTCGACCAGTATCTTGTAACCTTGTACATCTGGTTCTCAATGTGTGTCTATGAATGGTTACATGTACCTGCGCTGATGCTCAGCCTTCAGCCCTACATATAGGCAAAAAGAGAAATGAACCAAACAGCAACGAGGAAAGGCAAAGAAAGAAGGGAAACAAGCTTCCCTCCCCCTAGTCGCATCGTCTGCACTGCACCACTGCATTCCCACCCTTCGTCATTCTCTACGCTCTCCCCGTGCCCATTGTCTCCATATGAGAGGTATCCAAGCCTCAGCCTCCAATCCGTCAATCCGTCCGTTGTTGCGCTAGTGATTCCAGCCATTCCTTTGCTCTAGCTCGGCTCCATCTAGATTCATAATCGTTGTTCCGGACGGTGTTCCTTAAAACCCCCCGTCACGCCTCCTTCATCATTCCTTCTACTAAGTACTTAGTATCTCTGCGAATTTGTTTCGCCCACTGCCGCCGAACTCAACTAGACCCCTTGACCTGGCCATCACCATCTCTGGCGAGCAGACACGAATGTGTGGATACACCACAGAGAGTCTTTCAGACGACCGAACCAACAGCACTGAGACACCGCCTCAACCTGAATCGGAATCCAATTGAGCGAAATTCGAGTTAGACTTTCATCGACGCCGCCCAAGTGCATGACGCGCATTGTCGATCCCTAGCTCTACAGTAGTCACCACCCAAAAGTGATCTATCTTCCGGCCCCCAAAACCCCTGGTTTTCAACCATCAACACCGTCTCGAGATTAGAGCAGACAGAGCGACACTCCCTCTAACTCTTCACAATGGCGTCGGCGCGGAGGAATACAACGACAAGGAGCTTGCTGAGCATTCTCCTCCTCGCAGCACCAGCTCTCGCAAAATACCAAAATAACTTTGACCTCTACCCAGCAGCCGCCCAACCATGCCTCTACGCCTCCTCAGACGCAAGTAAATGCGACGGCGACACAGTCGCAACGATGAACAAGTGCCTCTGCAGCGATGACAAGGGGAAATTCGTCACAAACGCAGCGACGTGTCTAGGAAAGGAAGCGAAGGATACCCTCCGCACAGTCTATCAATCCATGAGCACCGCCTGCTCAGACTCCAAGACGCCGATATCCATAACTGAAGACCAATTCCTCAACCTCGGCGCGACAGGCGCGACAGCATCGCTATCAGTAACTTTATCCACATCAAAGACAGCTACGCCCACTACCATGATGACGACCACCACAGGCGGAGCAACCATCACCCTCACATCAACACCTACACCCGCGACATCGACTCCAGCACAGGAAGACAAAGGCCTAAGCACGACCGCCAAAATAGGCGTCGGCGTCGGCGCCGGCGCAGGAGCCATCGCTCTTGTCTGTCTCGCCGCCTTTATCTGGCGCATCAAGCGAAGCCGCGACGCCCACGACGAGTCCCACCGCCCAATGCTCGGCGGCGGCATCGGTGCCACGGGCCACAATAACCCACAACACGGGCCCTTTACCGAATACAGCCCGCCCGCGAGCGTCGCCGGCACTGGGGCGGGTGGATACGCCGCGTACACCGGCGCGCAAGAGTACAAAAACGAGAACAAGCAGCAGCAACCAGGCTGGAGGCCCGTCTCCGAGATCACGGCTACGAGTCCCGGTGGACAGACGTGGGCGACAAATTCACCGCAGCCGCCGTATGCGCATCTTCAACCGCAACAAGGGGCAAACTTGGGTGCTTGGGGCCACCACCCGCAAGCTGCGTACGTTGCTCCGCCGCAGGAACCTGCTCAGCAGGAG